TCTACTCTACTCTACTCTACTCTACTCTACTCTACTCTACTCTACTCTACTCTACTCTACACTACTCTACAGGATTCAATGCCAAATGTTATGGATTTTTAAAATGAGAAAAACTGTATAGCTAACATTCAATCTGACTTTAAAGCATATTATCAATGGGCTGCAAAAATGGGGCTGAGCTATTAAATCTACTGGCTTTCTGTCAATTCTATACTTTTAAAGTATTGACAACATTCTCCCCTGCTCTTAACTCTATTTTGTTGTAACATATCCGGTAGATACATGCTTGTATATCCATATCAAAGTCTGTGAGATGAAAGCACTTGAAGGACTAAAGAAAGTATAGTAATTACTACCCAAACTAGCTAGTATCCTATTAATCATGTTATGTAATTTCATCTACCATGTGTTTTTTGCTCAACATGAGTGATCTGAAGTGTAGCATATAAAATACTGAAACATAAAAAGCTGAAAAAAAATAAATTATGTAAGCATGTTATAAGCAGAAAAGAAATGAATTAAAACAGATTTAAAGGTATACAACATGTTTTTAGTTAAAGGCTTTGGATAGCAGAGCAAACTGTAGCAATACCATGTTTTTTTCCCTGCTGCATAAGAAAAAGAATTAACAGAAGAAGGGAGAGATTTCCTATTTGAAAATGAAAAAATAAGGCTATCTTACTCAATGCTATTTTCTACCTGGGATCTTATAGGATCATCTGGAAAATACTTTAAAGAAGCTGTTATCTCACTATTTACTATTATGCATTGTAATATACCACGTATGTATTTTTTCTCATAGCTTTCCATTGAAATTGGAACAGAAGTTAAACAACATAATAAATTATTAACAGAAATGGTATGTATTTACTTAAGCAGTTTATTTTAGATGTATCAGTTTAGTTTTAAAACCACTCAAGTAAATTCTAACATACTAATCCCTTTGATCATGCTTAGATTACATCACTAAATTCAATAAAATAAGTGAATACAGATAGTCCTCAACTTACAAGAATTCATTTAATGACTGTTCAAAGTTACAACAGCACTGAAAAATAGGACTTATGACCATTTTCCAAAGTTACAACTTTGCAAACTCCCCATGTTCATGTGATCAAAATCCAGATGCTTGTCAACTTGTTCATGCTTATGACCGTTGCTGTGTCCCAAGATCATGTAACCTTTTGACAAGCAAAGTTAATGGGAAAGCTGGATTCACTTAACAACCAGGTTACTAACTTATCAACTGCAGTGATTCACTTAACAACTATGGCAAGAAAAGTCATAAAATGGGCAAAACTCACTTAACAAATGTATCACTAAACAACAGACATTTTGAACTCAATTGTGGTTAATTCAAGGACTAACTGTAATGATATTTAGGTTTGTTATTTCAGTAGGTTTATTTTATATACAAGTTTGGATTTCTTTAGCCCTATACATAACATCAAAAGTGTCACATTTTAAAACGTTTTTGTTCCAAATCGCAGAGATGGGCGACTATAGAAATCAAATAATAAATATAATAAACGTTACAGAATTTTGCATTTTTCTACAGAAAAAAATTCTATAGAAATAATTGCAGAAAAATTCCTTTCCCCCCAAAAAAACTCAAATTTTGTATAGGATATTAAAATAAATGAGGTTAGATGCATGGTACATTTTCTCAAAAGGCAAAGATATCCATTGTCACCTTTTTGGGGAAGAGAAACTAGACACTGAAGTACAATAATTTCCACACAATGAAAATAATTACGTTTCTTTAACATTTTGCACTCTCTAAAGAGTGCAACTGTTTAAATTTAGTATTTTAAAACGAAGCAAAGGAATTATTTAACTTATTTTCTCTTAAGTTTCAAGCAGTATTTTCACAATTTAATAAACAACATTATACCCCAAAAAAGGCCTAAATAAATTCAGTTGAGGATTATGGCCAAGAGATAATTTGAACTCAGTATTCTGGCTAAAACTCTGACGTAGCTTTCTACAATTGGAGTATAGTCAGTCTTATGACCATAACAGAGCCCAAAATTTTCATTGCTAAGCAAGACAGTTAAGTGAGTTATGTTCCATTTTATGTTTTCTTTTACCACAATTAAGCAGACCACTGTTGTTATTAAGTGAATCATACTTCCCTCATTAATTTTGCTTGGCGGACGCCGGCTGGGAAATGATGCAATTTTGATGAGCCTGGGACAGTGCAACTGTCATAAATACATGCCAGTTGTCCGGTGCCCAAATTTTGATCATGTGACAATGGGGATGCTACAATGGTTTTAAGTGTGAAAAAAGTTGTGTCACTTTTTTCAATGCCATTGTGACTTCAAATGGTCACTAAATGAATGGTTGTAACTCAAGGACTACCCATACTGCTTGAATACATGAACAGATGCTCTTCAGCAAAATCCAAGATGATTAAGTAATTCTGAGAGTTGGAAGTCTATACATCTGATGGGAGCCCAAATTGAGGAAAAATATTCTAATGCATCGGAAGCTGGGGCTTGAAGTCAATTCAGAGAGTTGGAAGTCTTTCCATCTTAAAAGCTGCTAATAGCAATAGTACTTAGACTTAGATACCGCTTTATAGTGCTTTACAGCCCTCTGAGCGGTTTCCAGAGTCAGCATATTGCCCCCAACCTCTGAAGAATGAAAGGCTGAGTCTTTAGCCAATCTTTAGCTGGTCAGGATCGAACTGCTGGAGTGAACAGTGAATTTAGCCTGCAGTACTGCATTCTAACTACTGTGCCACCGAGGCTCTCAATGTTGAAAAAACACTGTATATGCTTTGCTGATCCATAAGCAGAGAAAATACAACTAAAGTTCTGTCTTTATGAATTAAAAATTAATAGGTAATATTCAAACAGTAAAATAATTCTGCATGTTTTTAATAACAGGACAATGATTTTGATTCAACAAGTGGATTCCTTGGTGCAACAATGGGCAGACTGAAAATCCTCTCCAGAGGAAGCCAGACAAAACTGTTATGCTACATGATGTTGTTCTCATTGTTTGTCTTTTTTGTGATCTATTGGATTATTAAATTGAGGTGATGCAGATCTCTATTATGAGATTATTCATACCATCTTGAAAGCTTTTTTTGAGAAAATTGATAATTTTTGTAACTGGATTTAGTATTGAATGCATCGAATCTCTTCTGTAATTCTTAAAAGCTTATCAAGCCAGAAGCAGTGTCACTTTTTTAAAAAAAACAATCTTATTTTATAGATTTTTCTGAACTGAATTTTGTTCAAAAGTGAACTCTTTGTAAACAAAACAGAAGTTTACTAAGTAGTTCCACTATTGAAACAGGCATTTTCCTATTTAGAAATTACACTATATAACAACAGCTTTTTTTCCTAGTAATAAAAATAATATTGGTAATTTTGTATTGAATATTTTAAAAAGCCAAAACGCTTCTGTTCAATGCTAAGTTATTTGAAGGGCTATTGTTTTAGTAAAGTATTTAACCAAGTTCTGAATTTGGCTTGAGTTAAGTGTTTATTTTAAGCTATTTAATAGTTTTGAGATACAGTTGTGTGAGGGAAAAGAAAAGACATGATTCTTTACTCACATGTCTGTGCTGGGATTGCATTACTACTATGTTTAGGGTTAATAGACCGGAATTGTCAGTTTTAATTTTACTACACTATCTTACTGTAGGCAGTTTACAATATTCTAGGTAGGCAAAGCAGTAGCACAACTTGCTGTTATAATGTCTGAAGTTTCATCTAATGTAATAGATGAAATGAATTACTAATGTAATAGTGAATTACTAACGTAATAGTGAAACAGTTGTTTTTAAATAAAGAATGTATGAGTTAGAGTTCCCTTTAATTAAAAGATGAAAGGGATCCACAAATATTAAATCCCCATTAACTAAATGGCTTGTTTTATTAGAAATTGGTATATCCCTAGTAGCAATATCACTGTTTAATTTGGTAGCAGAGTATGTGACATTTAAAATAGAGGTGACATTTATAAACTTCCTGGAAGAGAGATAAATTTTGGTGGAGAATAGAGCCTCATTATTTATTCTTTGAAAAAAAAAGTATACCGTATCTATAAGGAATACCTATCTCTTTTTTTCCGGTTTAACATTCTATTGAGTTATAAAATAAAATAAAGATACAAAAGTAAATGGGAAAACAGTGGGGAGGGAGAAGGAGAAGAGTGAGGAAGGGTGAGAAAAAAAAAGAAAAAGAAACTGACTGAAGACTCTCTCTGTTGCAGTAAAATAAGGCATTAACATCAAATCACAACTTTATTTTTTCATAATATGAACAAGCCATTTCTATAAAGTATAAAGAATACCTATCTCATATGAAGATTTCTTCACAGCAGGGGTTTCCATTAATCTTTTAGCTTGTAATTCAGCAGCAATAGCAACAGTACTTAAGACTTATACATCGCTCCATTGTGTTTTACAGTACTCTGAGAGGTTTACAAATATCAGCATCTTGCCCACCCCCGCACCCCCAGTCTGAGTCCTTATTTTACCAACCTTGAAAGTATGAAAGGCTGAGTCAATCTTGAGCTGGACAGGACTGAATTCTTGGCTTGGGCACTTTAACCACTACATTGCCACAGCTTTTAAAATTCAGTAGTTAAGATGTTGGAATAGTGGGGAAACCTGAATTTTAGGTCTGCTTTACACATGGTAGCCATCTGGGTGATTTTAAGCCAGTCACACTAACTTTCAGCCCTAGGAAGATGGCCTGGAAAACCACTTCTGAAAAGTTTCCAAGAAAAGTCAGTGGATTTATAGGTGACATGCCAGTAGTCAAATCTGATTTGGGAGCAATCTTTATTTAATTCTCAATATTAATATACTATTTTTTCTAGGTTCATAGAAGTTGAGATTTTGAACTGGAAGACATAATAGTGGATTTTTTCCCACGGTGTTCAACATATTAACTTGCTAGAATTAGTAGACCTACAAAGACCTACATATTAACAAAATGACCTTGCATGTTAAATTAAGCTTCTTTTGCATATAGAAAGTTTTTTGAGAAGATTGGTAAATAATTTTTACTAAGTTAAAGTCTAAATCTCTACTGGGAATCTTCAGCATTTATGTTGAGAAGTTTGATAATGCAAATCTAGTCACTATGTGGCTAGGTTCCCATTAAAAAATGTTAAAGCGGGGATGTCAAACTTGTGTCATCACAGTGGTGTCATGTGACATATCAGGATTTTTTCCCCCTTCGCTAAACCGGGCAGGGATGTGGCCAGTTTATAACATATCCGGTCAGGATGCCACGGGTTTGGCAGCCCTGTGTTAAAGGGAGGATTCTACTCACCAACACAATTTGTCATTTCAACAGCTGTGATATTTTCCATCCATTTTCCAATTGCAAAATATAGTGTCACACTTATATGAGTAAGGATATCATGTTTCATGTATATGTATTTTATATTGGCAAACTGTTCAGTTGAAATGATTTTTTAAATATAATAGAACAATTCATAATTATAGTTTATTCTAATCATATATAAATGCTTTGATTATAAAAATCATATCCTATTTTATTATATAATCAAAATACTGAGGAATATCTTTGATTTTATTAACAGTAAGGCTTATATATATACATATTTATCAAATAATATAGAGAAGTACAAGAAGAATGTCCTTTTTCCAATATCATCTCATTTCCTCTCAGTATTATTTTTTATTAAATTTATTTGCTGCTTATCTTGCTGGGGGTTACTTTAGGCAACTTACTATAATAAAAAGAAAAATTAAAAATTAAAATTGTTAACATTAAAACTTTAAACCAGGGGTGACAAACTTGCTTTCATTGAGGCCTCATAAGGGTTGTGCTTGGGAAGAGGGGGTGTGGCCAGGGGCATGACCAGCTCATCACTAATGTTGGAAGCAACTGTGGTGGGCTGGGGGGGATCTATTGTATCCAGCAGAGGAAGGCAAGACCAAGGAGGGGGCCAGACCCTTGTCCTTCAGAGGTGCCTCACTGTCCCTCTCTGGCCATGAGGAGGACCCCTGGATGGTAGCTCAGGCTGTCCAGAGCCCTAGACAGCAGAGGGCAAACACCCAGCCGAGCACTTGAGCTCCCAGGGTACTGGGACCTCACAACCCAGCCACGCCCAGCCCTGCTTCCCGCAGGGGGTGCCTGGCTGCACTTACCTCCTCCTCAAGGCGGCTGCTGCTGTTCTTGCTCTCTTTGGCCAGTTTTCTCATGATGTATACAGGAGGGCAAAATGTGTGGGTCAAAGGAAAGCCCACTCCCTCTCCATGCAAAAAGACTTGGCGTTGTAACCAAAGCATCCTCAGTGATAGGATAGAAGACAACCAGGAGAGGTCAGGGGGAGACAAGGAACAGCAAAAGAGCAACAGGGCTACTAGTGGCTAAGTGCTAAGGCAAGATGTCCCTCAGACCCTCCCTCCCTCATTATTTTACCTTACACAGTTTAGACAAAACTTATTTCCTTCCTTTCTTTTTCCCTTTTCTTCTTTTTCCTTCCCTCTTCCTTCTCCTTTTTTTTTCTTCCCCTCTTTCCTTATTTTTCTTTCCTTGTTCTCTTCCCATCTTTTCTTCCTTTTCTTTGTCTTTCCTCTTTACCTTTCTCCTTTTCTGTCCCTTCTTGGATGCTCAAATGCAAAAGGGGAAACGTTTCTCAATGCGTTGTGATCAAATGCGACTTTTGCTAGTAGTTTGTTTTGGTGGAACTCTGCAAGCAAAAACAGAGTTCAGGAGGGTGGTTCATTTTTTACTATGACGGCCTCCTACAACCCTCTGCCAGTGAAAACTGTTTAACATCCCTGCTTTAAACCATTTGAAGAGTACGATTAGGCTGACTGAGGTTAAGATCATTTTCATCATAATTGTGTTATAGAGTTCTGAAAATCCTAGGGCTCATTCTTTTTCCTATAAAAGAAGAGAATACAGATTAATGCTTCAATTTAAAATAGCTTTTCCATATCTAACTGCAAGGCTACTGTTTACTGATACCATACTGATATTATATCTGAATTTGCTAATCTCATAAAATTCAGCTGGAGGAAAATGGTTCCCTTTCACAATTACTTCCCAATAGCCTATAATTGAGTATACAGCCAATGACCCAAGGGGTAGTAAAAACCTTCAGTGTTAGCAACCATTGATAGCTTGATTCTGAATGAACCCATTCAGTTCTCTTTGAAAGCTATCCATATTGCTTGCTGTTATCACCATGCTGGCAGTAAATTCCCCAAATTAGCTGCGTATGGCGTGAAAAAAATATTTCTTTCTTGCCATCTTTAATCTCCCTGCATTTAGTTTGCACCTACTCTTTTTCAGGCACAATATTCAATTAAACTAGTCAACTACAGGTAGATTTTTCCACATCTTTTGAAAAGGTAATGGTGGCTTTAAAACATTGTGTATTATACATACATATAGAATGCATGCTATATATTACTCAATTGTTACCAACAGAGTTGAACAAACAATACATTTAAATAATTTAGATTAACATAATTATATGGTATACATTATTATATGCAATATTAATGCATATATTAATAACTATGAGATGCATGGAATAATAATATAAACTGGTAGGTATGACAGTTCTGGTTAATATTTGAAGATGTTGATTATAAAATAGGTGAGATAAGAATTCTAAGTTAATCCTATCATTACATTTTTTTTATATTACATCACTACCTTACATCGTTCAGAAGCAAACGATGAATGGATTCATTTTTTAGTAATTAAAAGAAACCCCCCAAAAATGCTCTAGGTATGAGCATGCAGGCATTCACCCATTCAAAGCAGAAAAGTGGATTCAGTTCTGGCCTAGGTGTTCTCACTATGCATGTGCTCAGGAAAAAAAATACAGCTTCTTTCAAGTGCCAGAGAAAGATAGTGTGAGTATAACCACATCAGATCAGAATCACTTTTTTTTGCTTTATATTCAAATACTATGTTATCAGTGGTTCTTGAAAAACATCATACAAATTTGCACATTTTAATTTACATGCAAAAAAATCATTATGAAAATTAGAAATTTGGTCATTCCTTTGGATATATTTATTCCACCTACATTTTAAAAAAAAAAGCTCTAATACAGATTATTAAAACAGTAGCAAAAAATCTATGGTTATTCACAAAACTTACGTTTGGGGCAAGATACCCATGTATTTGCATATAATGTACAGCATGATTTCATCAGCACCTCCTCCTATTGATACCAATCTTAAATCTCTGCCATGACAGAAAAGGCAAACAAAAGTATCAATAAAATGAAATTTGTTCTGCTTCGCCTTTCACTTAATACAATTAATATTAAACTTGATATTGTTTAATGTACTTGTTTAACTAAGTCAATGTGAATTGTGAATTACTTTAATATACTAATCATCATCATCACTTAAAATGTATTAGATTTGTTAGTATAACATTTTAGTTTGAGTCATCAATCTAAGGATTCTTGGCAAGTATAACTAAGTATGGCTGCATATATAGCACCCAAAGCCTCCTAGGGAAATCTTGTCAACATTTCTATGTTGTCAAGCTGAATAGCCATCAGTTGGAAAACAAGATTCCTACTCTAGTGCTGCTCTTCAGAAAATGGAGACCATGATCTTGAATCACAGTAGGGTTTAATCTTCTGCATTAATACCTGTGACTTTGATTGTGGTGGGAGTTAAGGTTAGGGCTTCCACAGAATTGTTCTGATGCACATTATCTCTGTGTGTTTATCAGACAAAATGCATTCCATAAAATTTTTCCAGAATCCCAGTCAGTCCTCTATCTCAGAAAAGCTTGCTAATTCCTTGTGGGGGGAGAGGCGCGTTACTTCAATTCTATTTTGGCATGCCTCTTTGAATTAGAAATGAATGCTCTTCATTTGCAAATATGTGTAGTCCTTAGTTTACAAGCAATTGGGACTGGAATTACCATAATTAAGCCATAGTGACAGCGGTTCTGGCAGTCCTAGTTGCCATTGTTAAGCAAATCATTGAGGGTCATTAAGTGAAGACATTGCATGATCACTATTTGTGATCTCTTGGGTCGCATGATTGTGGGATGCTGCAACAGTTAGAATGCTAAGGATTGTCCATAAGTACAGGTAGCCCTATGACCATAATTGAGCCCAAATTTTGAGAAATTTGTTAAGTGAGTTTTGCTCTATTTTACAACTTTTCTTATCGTGTATGTTAAGTGAATCATTGCAGTTGTTAAATTAGTAACATGTAACAATGTTGTTAAGTGGATTTGGCTTCTCTATTGACTTTGTATGTCAGAAGGTCACAAAAGGGGAATCACATGATCCCGGGACATTGCAACTGTCATAAGTATGAATCACCACATGTCAAGCATCCAAGTGTAAATACGTGCTCATGGGGATGGTGCAGTGGTCATAAAGTGAGAAAAATGGTCATTTCAGTGCCGTCGAACTGAACTTCGACGTGTAACTTCGAACAGTTGTTAAACAAACTGTTAAGTCGAGTGCTACCTGTACCAATTGTTCAGTGAACTGCAATTTTGAAAAGATGCTGAGTGAGTGGCCATTAACCAAAGACTCCCTGTAGAATTATAGATTAGAGTATTTTTTAATCAGTGAATAAGATGTTACATTCAGAAAAAAAGGTGCTTTCAATGTGATCATGCAGAATAAAATAGGGCTATGCAAGAATTTCAGATCTCATATTTATAGAACATAGAATAACAGGATTGTTATTCTATATTCTACATAAGGAATCTTGGACGTCATCTAGTCCAACCTCCTGGTCAAGAAGAGACCCTATACCATTCTGGACTAATGGCTGTCCAGTCTCTTCTTGAAAATCTCTAGTGATGGAGCAACCACAACTTTCAGAGGTAAGACATTCCACTTATTAATTGTTCTCACTGTTCTCTCCTTAGTTCTAGGCTGGATCTCTCTTTAATGGTTTTCCACCTCAGCATACCTAGTTCTCTCAACATTTCATTGTATAATGTAGCCTCCTGACCCCTTATCACTTTGTTGCTCTTCTCTGATCAATTCTAGAGTATCAATATCTTTTTCTGCTGTGCTGACCAAAACTGGATGCAGTATTCTAGGTGTGTGTGTGTGTGAACGTATGCACATGCATGCATATATATGTATATTACAAACATACATTTATTGAAAATATGTTCATTGTTTGAAATAGTTCCTGTTTTCAAAAAGGCTGGATTTCCAACTTACTTTTCTTATTGTACTTAATGGTTTGGTTTAATTTTACATTGAATATAAATGTTGTTGGTCAATGATGGAAATAAAAGTTTACTATCACTTCTTCAGCTGTTCTCCCTGTGAATTTGTAAGGGTTTTGGGGGGGCGGGGGAGGGGGTGGATTTGAGTGCATTTGAGCTGAAACATGAGGTTTGGGGAATTTTAGAAGAAACCTGTACTGTAATTATCCCATAGGATACATAGTACTCACAAAGTTTCCTGGATTATAAAATGTATATTTTCTAAAAAATTAACATTAACGACATGTATCCAGTACCATACTTCAATTACAATGCATCAACTATTAATACCTGATTGATAATTTGAATGCTTGTGACATTACAGACTTATACAGATAGACGAAAGGGTTAATCCTTCTTACCTGTAGATTCTACTCACTAGCACTTCATTAGTGTACCCCATTCCTCCCCAGAACTGGAGACAACTATCCGAAATCTCTCGACAAAGGCGACCACACTTTAACTTGGCCATGGATATAAGTTTGGTCACATCATTTCCGCGTAAGTAGAGACCTCAAATAAAAATACAAACTTTCCTGTCAAGTTAACCATGTATATAAAAAATAATGTAACTTATAGGTAGATTATTGCAAATAAATTTTTACTGCACTTACCTACTGCCTCATATAGCAATGCACGAAGGAGTTCCAATTCCATAGCTAGTTCAGCCAGGCGAAAATGCACTATTTGATTATGAAGTATTGGCTGGCCAAATGTTTTCCTTTGAGAAGTATAATCAATAGTTTTTTTTATCAGGATTTCTAAAGCTGACAGTGCTAAATATGCAATGTAATAAAAGATGAAAGTAAATATATTTAATTCCTTTCCATTGGAGATTAAGTTATCCTTCCCCTCCCTCTCTCCCTCCAGATTTTTCTGAATTTTTGCATATCTTTGCCATAGGACATGATCAAGAGTTTCCCTTGGATATTATTGTTACTTAAAGGGAATCAAAGTGAGTAACAGCAATTCTGTGTTTGTTTCATGGGCAATATGCAATGTGTGTGGTCATCAACCTCCTTAAAATTCAATAAGTGGTTGCACCATCTTGAACTTCAGTAATGCTTCCTAATAATTATACAGGAATTTTACCTGTTTCTTTCCTTTCTTTGCTCAGTAAAATTTGACATTTTTCTAACTTAAACTGCTTGCATCAAGACTTGCTACAATATTTCAGCTTTTAGGTCTAGAGAGGAAAGGTGTCAAACTCAAGGCCCAGATACAGGCCATGGGGTGCTTACATCTGGCCCATGGGGCTATGCTAGAAACAGCAAAGGACTGGCCCACGGTGCCTCTGCCAGAGAAAATGGAGTTCACGAGGACCTCCCCAGCTCCATTTTCAGCTGTGATGCCATCCTCTGCTAGTGAAAATGGAGATCAGGGAGGCCGCAATTGGCCCCTCCAAGCTCTGTCTTCAGTGGCAAAGGGAGGCAGGAGGCTGTCGCAGCTGAAAATGGAGCTTGCTGGCAAAGCCCTTGGGCCACCACAGAAGCCCCCGACATGAGTGATGTCAAGATGGCCAGGCCTACCCCATCCCCAAGTTCAAATAACCGTGATGTGTCCCTCAATGAAATTGAGTTTGAGTATCTAAACCCAGATTTAGTTCTTCATCCAATCTCTCACAGATCTATTTGTTTATTTGGCAATACTGCTTTGGTTTAAAACTCATCTGCGATTCAGTTTCAACAGATACAGCTTGATATTCTGTAGAATTGTTTCACATGTTTTGTATGATAGCAAGCAGCCTATATCCTGAGACCGAAGAGCATCTCCAAACTGTGAACTTATGCTCTCTCTGATGACTGATATGAGATTTGGAATTAATTTATTTAATTAAAACCAATCTGGAATTCTTTATTTATTTATTGAATTTATATTGCTGCCTATTCGCCCATGGCGACTCAAGGCAGCTTACAGAATATAAAACCTCATTTAAAGCAATAAAAATAATCAAATAATATAATAAAATAAAATCACCCCCTGCCCCGGTGACAGCAGATCATATGAGCCACTTAATGGGTTCCATCCCACTCTGGGTTCCCAAGGCCCGCAGGCAGAACCAGGTCTTCAGCATCTTCCAGAAGAAGAGGGGGCTGTTCTAATCTCTGGGGAAATGATGTTCCAAAGAGAGGGAGCCACCACAGAGAAGGCCCTTCTTCTGGGTCCCACCAAGTGTATCTCCCTCGGGGATGGGATCCGCAGCATTGCCTGCCTCCCTGCTCTGGTGGTTGGGTAGATATGACCAGCAAGAGATGGTCCCTCAGATAACTTGGTCCCAAACCATGAATGGCTTTAAAAGTGATAACCAACACCTTGAATTGCACCCGGGAACAAATAAGCAGCCAATGCAGCTCCCGCAGGAGAGGTGATACATATGCACCTCAGAGTCTGCACAAAACCATGCAGGCTGCTGCATTTTCCACCAACTGGAGTTTCTGGATGCTCTTCAAGGGCAGCCCCATTGCAATAGTCAAGACGGGAAGTGACTAGGGCATGAGTGACTGTAAGTCGGGATTGTTGGCCTAAGAAAAGATGTAACTGGTGCACAACCCCCAATTGCGCATCAGACATAATAGCACCTGAAAAGGCTCTGGAAGGTCATCTGGGTGCTTCAACTTCAAACAGTGGCTATCTCTCAAGAATATTCCCAAATATAGGATAAAATTTCCAGGAATCTCATGACATTATCAGGCCTTTCTTGATCTGGCTAGAGTCAATTTTTGTGGTTTCGTTGTTTTTAAAACGGTGAAACAAGAAGCTTGTCTATTGTTCCAGACTTTCACTACTACAGGACTATTTTTCTAACTTTAGAGTAATGAAGCCCCAACGGTTCCACATGGCCTTGTAATATTATCCAGACTGATAGACATCAATGACTTTATTATGGAGGTTGTCATATGTTCTCTGGGGGGGCCAGTTCACTGTGATAAGGAGAAACTTAGTGAAATGGATAAAGGAAAGAGCTGGCCCAAATTAATCCTGATTGTTCAATGAAGCATTCAAACAACTGTTGTAATTATTATTTTTTAGTTGTATTGATTTTTTTAAAAAAATAAAGTTGTATGCTGCTCACTTTGCCAAAGCAAATAAAAATAGACAACTTGGTTTATAAAAAATATAAATGTTTGGTGTTTTTCATCAGAACTGTTATACAGCAGAGAGACCCATATAAAGTTTTGGTAACATTTAGTGGCAAAAATATCCAAAATTCTGGAAAACTGAATGGGAACAAATGCTTTTTTGTAGATTTGTATATAGAAGGAATCTGCAGCTATGGAAATGCATACAATATTGTCTTGAACAAGAATTTGGATACCATGTTCATAATTGAGAGGGTTGCTATATTTTACTGCCAAAGTCAACTTTCCACATTGTTTTGTAAGAAAAACCCATCTTAGTAGCTAGACAGTGTGGCTTATTACTTACATGAGGCTACTATCCATATTCGTTCTTCTTGGAACTGCAACATCTGGTATTTAAACCCCATTCCTTCTTCTCCAATGAGGTATTTGCTGGGAATTCTGACATTTTCAAAGAAGATATCTGCTGTGTCAGATGCTCTCATACCAAGCTTGTCAATTTTCTTAGCAAGGTGAATACCTGAAAACCAGTGTTTATAGATCAAGGGAAATGATTAATACAAATGAGTAAGATGAATTGCATATGTGGGACATTCAGTGACAACTAGATTATGGCCTTTTATAACCTCATTAAAATTTATCATTAAAAATGTGCAAGTGTTAGTAAAATTAATGCTTCTGTTTATGTGTGTGTGTGGAAACTATTACTGTCCATAAAAAAAATTGGAATACTAAAAATTGTGAGTAGATATTCTAGTCACAAGCCTGAAAAAAATATCTTTTCTGATTTGAGAAAGACAAAAAATAAAGAACCACTCTGAGACCGAATGGGCAATCTCTGTATTTGATAAGTAAATAAACAAGTGAATGGTTGCTGTTTTTACTATGGAATATGCCTATTCTTTTCCGGAAGAATAATTTTTTTAAATCCTTCAAAAAAAATAGTTTGTTTATTGGCTTGTCAAGAAAGTCATTTGATAGTATCCTTTATTTACACAGGGAATAATAAACGCTCATAATATACTGTGGTGCTTCTGTATGTGTTTAGAGACTTTTCATACAGTGTTGTCACCTGAACAAGATTCGAATTCCAAATTATTTTTTGGGGGGGGGGGGGGGGGAACATGCCTAAAAGAGTCAGGGACTTTTGACTGGCTAGTCTAAGTTCCATCTGTATCAATGAATTTACAAATTTACAGATTTGAAGAAAAAAGAAAGGAGGAGGAGTACAACATGGATAAATGCTGTATTCTGAAAAGTCAAAAGCTTAGCTAAATAATTTAAAGCAAAACAACACTCTAAATCAGGGGTGTCAAACTAGTGGCCCACAGGCCAGATGCATCATGCGCAGGCCGTGCCCACCCATGCTCCGTGAAGGAGGAAAATGTCACGAAATGTCACGTGATGGCAACGTGACACCGCAAGTATGACACCTGTGCTCTAAATTAACTTAGCTTTCTTTCTCTAAATAGACAAGTGATTGATGTATCAAGAATAAGTAACTGAGGGGCAGAGGATATTTTATCCAGGAAAATCATGTCATCTGATGATATTACCTAATTTTGGTAATGAAACACCTACAAGACAAGCAAGTTCAGAGAGCACAAAGGACCCCTCATTTCAACCCTGAGCTACAAATATTCTCCTTTATTAGAATCATGCCACTTCTTCCAATGTATTTTATTGTCTTCTAAGCAGTTTAAGACTAGCTTGTACATTCTTGAACAAGGCCCAAGTTTCAGATATTTGGTAATTTTGTCTGAATAGTAGTTTTTGAACTCACAGACCTATAATTTCCTGGATCTCCACAGGCTCTTTTTAAAAGTTGAAAATACTTCGGTCATTTTCCATACCGAAGAAGGCAGCCTGAAGACAGGGGGTCATAATGTCATTCTGGGTCACAATTTTATTTTATTTTATTTTATTGCCAAAAAAAGGGTAAGTTGAAAAAGGTAATTGCTGAAAACCAGAGTATTGTGATAACTGTATAAATTTGATCACTTTGGCTTATAATCACCACTTACCAGGAACATAAGCTATTTCATATTGAGAAGACAGTTGAATGAATCATCTGCAGCTTGTGAAGATTATTTACTTTTTTTAGTTTAAACAAATTCAAGTGAGGATCCCTGAATAATGCTTTTCAAGTATCCTTGGACAAACTTTCTGGAAAAACTGGATTATCTGGACCCTTTCGATGAGTTTCAGGGCTAGACACTGGGCCGGAACAGCCTTGGTATTTCATGGATGTTCCCTGGTGGGAACAGCATGGAGGTGTGCATCTCTCACGTGGTTTTTAATACTATTATTTATATTTTTATAATATTTTACTTGTATTGTGTATAGGTTTTATAGAGTTTTACACTTTTAATATTGTAAACCACCCAGTTATCCTGTTATAAGATAGGCATAAAATAAAAATAATAAAAATAAAATAAATAATAAAATAAATAAATAATAAAATTATTAAATAAAATAAATATAGTCTTTTGGGCCAACTAAGGGAAGTATGGTTCTGTGCTGGTTCACCTCCTCCTTCAGAGAGGTTGGTCTCAACTAGTGTTGATAGAAAGTAAGAGATCTATTTCATGGCTGCTGCTCAAAGAATAGGTAGAATTTGTGAGCTAGAGGGCCTTTGCTCCACTTCATATTGTGTGCCAGTTACACCCTTTCCTGTAAAGGGAGGCTCTCTACCAGGTAATTCATGCCCTGGTCATCTCCTGTTTGGACTACTGCAATGTGCTCTACATGGGGCTCCTCTTGAAAAGTATCCAAAAATTTCACCACTATACAATGCAGCTGGGGCACCCAAAGAATAGTGCATGTAACATCTCTGCTGCATGAGTTGCATTGGGTACTAGCTTGCTTCTCAGTCCAAGATGTTGGCAATGATTTTTAAAGCCCTATGTGGTACAGGGCCATGTTACCTATGGAGCTGTCTTCGTGTTGTTACATCAGCCCGTCCCACCCATCAGGAATGGAAGATGTGTTATAGACTCTCCCAACCAAAGAGTTCCAACTAGCAGGGTCCAAGATGAAAACTTTCTCTGCCATTGTTCCTGGAATGTGGAGCATTCTCTGCCTGAGGTGAGGTGGGCACCTCACTCTCTTGGCCTTCCATGAATGTTTAAAATCATGGCTCTGTGGCCTTGCTCAGGGTGTGCAAAGGAGCACACAACCATGGGGCTGATTAGTGCCCTGAAAGCCCTGCCCCCACCTTTTAGTTATTATTTTTTAAAAAACATTCATCGCCTCTTTTACATTTTATGTATTGTTTTTATGTTTTTAATATTTTATTATACTCTGCCCAGAGTCCTTCTATGAGGGAGATGGATGGTTCTTCTTAAAGTTGATAAATAATAGGCTTAAGTGATATTTCCTGGATTCCAGTGGTCCTCAACCTTTCTGGGATCGGTTCTGTAGAGAAATTTTTTTCTGCAGACAGGAGGGTTTTCCAAGCTGCCTGCATATACCATGGATGAGCTTTGCTTGTTTGTGCAGACCAGTTTGCTGGTATGCCATGGACTGGTGCCAGTCCATGGACTGGGGTTTGGGGATCTCTGATATACACTATTATATATAAAGAATGCTGTTTCATATCAGTAACATGGGCAGTCTCTGTTCTACCTGTTTTTGTAAATTAGTACAAACAGTTTTATCAAATCTTAATCACTAATAAATTGAGAAGCCAACAAGCTTCACCAACTCTTCACTGACAAGTGTCTCATTCTTCTGCACTAGAATAACATAGAAAAATGGTATATATCAGAATTACTGACTTTACTAAAGCAAAAGGCATGACCCAGTATTACAGCACATTTTGTTTTTTAAAAAAATTATTCAATAAAAGTATTGTCTTTATGTTGGAAAATCAGAAAAATCACTCATAGCTTAATCAGTGCAATTTATTTGAAAAACTTTTCAGTTCTATTTCTTTCTTTAGAATTACTCATCAGTGAATTACTTCTTTAGAATTAGTCATCAGTGAGCTTAGAAACATTTTAATAATAATATAATCCTTTGATAGTTTTTAAGTAAGTTCACTAATCCAAAAATTTCATTTATATTTTTAACCACTAACAGACCACAATTAAGGTTGAGTGGTACCTAGCATTAGTTCTTTTTTAGCTAGAGAACATTCTCAATTGTGCTTTTGTTCTTTCTATGTTAGTTGAACCCCACTTGTTTTTATTATTATTATTTATTAGATTTATATTGCTGCCTATTCGTCATGGTGACTCAAGTTAGAAACAACTACCCTAATATTGAACTTAATAACACAGAGAACCACTTCTTGTGATATCTCCCATTTATCAACTTATCCACTTTCAAGCAGCTATAAAACTTTTCCATTTAAAGGGGACTATAGTATTTTTAACCTTTCTTCCTTCACCGGGTTCAGTGCACCAGACACATTGGGAAAACTGACTTCACAATTTCTTCATTATTAATGGTATTTCTGAGTGATATTCATCTGGGTACTTAGTGTGGAAAAAAATTGATAGTTATCATTGAGACATAGTCCTTGCTGAAGAATATCCAACATGATCAACAAAGGGAAGGCCATGTTTAAGTAATCTACATGAATATTTTAGGGTATTAATAAACATGTAATAAGCATGAGCCAGTAGATATTATCTACTAAGGTTTTCAAAAAAAAAACCACCCAAACATTTGATTACTCATTCTTCAAATATTTCTCAGTGAATTTAAGAACCATGGAATAAAAGGGTAGGTTGTCTTGTGTGTAAGAGTCAGGCTAAATAATATAAGTTTATAAAACATGGAAGAATAAATGGATATTTCTCACAATGGAGGATATAACTAGTAGAGTCCCACAGGTTCTATCCGAGGAATGATGCCTTTAAAAATATTTATATATGTTTTATAACATATTTATAAAATAATTGAATGTAACTTGTAGAATAGTGAAGTTGGTCAAAACACCAAATTGTTCAGAGTGATGTAAAAACCTTAATGAATTGCAAAGAACTCAATAATAATATCTACAGATTAGAAAAATGGATGTCAAAATAGTAGCTGCCATTCTACAGGAGCAAATACTATGAAGTGATAAACATTGATGCCAAGGAACCTAACTATTCATGCAAACTGATGGGAATAGAGCTAGCAGTAACATGATATGTTAAAGAGATCTGTGAGTAATGAAAAACAGTTAGATGAAGATATTAACCCAGTGTCCAACCACAGTGGGGGGAAAAAACAGCATATTAAAAATACTTTTAAAAAATTGTAATGAAAACAGAGATTATAATTTCAAAATGCCCTAATATCAATCAATGATACGACATTTGGAATATTGTAAGTGATAGCCTTAATCAGTTTTTGTTTGGATGTTTCCACTGATATTTTTACAAGTAATATTTTATAATCAGTAACAGTTTCTAATTTATCTGTTCCTACAGCAGACTACAACTAATGAGAGATATTGTGCAAAATGCATGGAACAGGAGTGTTCCTCCTAATTTCTTCTTCTTTTTTGACCCTGCTCTTAATTATGGATATCTCAATTAACAAAGAAATAGTGATGCAATAATTTTGTAGCACGCACCAAAAAAAACCATAAGTATGTCATAAGTTTGAGTAAATAACTATCAATTATATCAAATTGTTGTGGAGGCTTTTTCAATTTTAAGTACTTATTTGCTTGGTTGCTTCAACTTTTAAGATAGCAAAAAAACTGTGAATTCTGTTTCTAATTTGGAAAGCCTGACAGCTATTTGAAGGTTTTGTGTTAGTCTAAAACAGGCACAGTCACAATATACATTTTTCAAATTCTAACAGTCAATACTATTTTGCTTTAAAAAGGTTGTCATCATTTGGAAGAGGTATTTCTCAACATGATTTATGAGATTCAAATGAACTTCCACTCCGCTAACTTATTAAGTTATACATTTTTTCTGAGAATAATTTATCTTAACTTTGTTACCAGGCAACTTCATTGGCAGACATAGGAGAGATTTATTTTTGTGGGCTGGTCCATCCTTTGTGTTTGCCAAGAGGCACATCCAGTCTGCCTGAAATCCAGAAGTGATCCACATTTTGCTACCATTTATCACATAATCATCGCCTTTTCTTACAGCTTTGGTCTTGATATCTGTGCACAAGGGGGAAAAGTGATATGGAATGTGAAGAGTCCAACTGTATGATGGTGCTAAATGAGTAATCTTTATGAATGGTCTTTAAAGCTCCAGGCGTCATAGTGCCACAATGGTCCTGTAATTCAGATTGGAGTGCTTGGCAATTGGCTCCCACTTATGAAATTGCAGTGTTCTATGGTCATGTGATTGCAATCTCTGCCGACTTCCCACATGCATTTGACAACTGGCTGGCACTTGACAGCTGGCACTTGGAAATGGCTCACATTTACCACAGAGGCAGCATCATGTGACCATGTGATTGCCATTTCCACAAGCAAAGTCAAAATGGAAGCTAGCCGGAAAGATCATAGGTTCCTTTAAAGATTCCCCTCTCATTCCCAGTCTTCCTTTGATCCCTCTGCACCACCCACCAATCACCCTATCAGTTCTCACACCCTGCTGTGCCATCCACTCTCCACCTTCTTGCATTTGTGTGCAGCTTGTGTCTCAACTCCCAAGCTCTCTCCTAGTTTCCCCCATGTTGCGTATCAGCCTGCCCCAGGCTTCTCAGGGCTTCCCTCATGAGCCTGCATTCCATACTTTACTGCAGCAGGCTGTCCGGCACTCCTTCCTGTGACTCCTGCCACTTCCCAGTTAGCAATAGCAATTAGACATATATACTGCTTTATAGCCTTGCCTGTGGTTTACAGAGTCAACATGTTGCCCCTGACAATCTGGGTTCTCATTTTATCCACCTGAGAAGGATGGAAGACTTCCTGAGTTGGTGACACTCAAACTGCTGGCTGTCAGCAGTCAGCAGAATGAGCCTGCAATACTGTATTCTAACCACTGCACCACCACAGCTCATGGTAATCCAAGTTAGTTGACAGCAACCAGGAATGCTGGGATTGTTGTCACTTGATGCGTTGCGGGTCCCAGTGCCGGGATGAATCAGCTGACGACCTGCACCCAGGCAGACTGTCTGGGCGGGCTCCTCTTGATGGCAAAGATGACAGCGACACAAAGGTTTCTTTTTGTGAGAGGAAGCCCAGATAGTACTATGCACCTCTCTTTTATTGTGCAGCAAGCGGGGGGGGGGGGGGGG